TCCTTGACTTACAGCCACAATGGAGCCCAGGATTCCTGCTGCTAAGCGAGAAAATTGGCTAAGTGAGTTTCGCCCCCATTTTACGACTTTTCTGGCTGCATTTTGCTAAGTGAATCGCTGCCGTTGTTAAATGAGTAACACCGCTGTTAAACAAATCTGGCTTCCCCATTGACTTGGCTTGTCAGAAGTTCGCAAAAGGGGATCATGTGACCCCTGGGGGATGCTGCAACGGTCATACATACGAGTCAGTAGCCACGCATCTGAATGTAAATCACATGACCCTGGGGATGCGGCAGCGGTCGTAAGTGTGAAATATCTTTTTCAGTGCCGTTGTAACTTTGAACGGTCACTAAACGAAGTTGAATACTACCTATACGTTGTTGGAATCTTACGTCAAGGCATCCCGTAACCGGATTCAAAGTTTCAACTACTTTTTTATAGCGGTTGTTAAGTGAACTCCGCAGTGGTTAAGCAAATGCCAGGCCGTTAAATGAATCCATTTCATCCAATGCGTGGGGTTTGGGGTTTTTTTCTGAAAATCAGATGTAAGCACTGGAAAACCAAGACTTAGTCGGACGAGAGCCTGGCCCCTCTACTTGCGCTCAGGCTGAGACACAGCTGTGCTGGGAGCCTGAGTTGGACAGTGATGAAGAACAGCTGGGACAAATCCCGGATGCACGAAAGCGCAGGCAAGAGAAGCGAGTAGGACAGAGGAATGCAATGGGGCGACTCCAAAGGCAAAGGAGAAGGCGTTAGGAAACCACGCCTTGGCTGAATTATAAAAGGGAAGGTGTGGGAGGTGCTGATTGCTGAAGGCCGCCGTTTGTGTTGAGGATCGAGTTTCTGTAGACTGTGTTTGCTTTCCTTGGACATTGACTCAGGGCTGTGAAAATAAAAGGGGTTGGTTTTTTCTTGTGGTTCCTGCCTGTTTCTTGGAAGAGGGGTTTCTCCTTGTGAGCATAACCAGGACTCATGTAGGCTGGGACAGAACAGGCTCAAATCTCAGTACCAGGCGTAAGGAAGTACAGAAAAACAAATTCCCGATTTTATGATGCTCAAGCATAATAAAATCATAAACACAATAAAATCCCTTCGTCGTCATTGTGTGAATTGCAGAGGTGAACTCATTGCCAAGGCAGGGCCTGATAATGCAATCACCTCTGTGTGTGTGTGTGTGTGTATGTATGTGTATGTGTGTGTACCACTTTTGTAATTCTAGAAACAGCTGTAAGTAGCTCTGGAGCTGCCTGTTTGTAACTTTGGACAATCATTAATCAATCAATCGTAAGTCAAGGACTTCTTGTTCTCTCCAAATGTAAATTGGACTTCAATTCTCATCGTTCCTGAGCAGACGCATCGCTTCAAAATGGAGCATGGGTAAATCCTTAACATGCGATCGTTTGCTTAGCACAGTGGTTCTCAATCTTTTTAATGCCGTGACCTCCAACCGGTCATAAGTCGAGGACTATTCAACCGGTCGTAAGTCGAGGACTACTCAACTGGTGCAGCACCGTTTGCAGAAGGGGACTTTTGGCGGGCTCAGCAGGGCAGAGACAGCCTGGACAATTCCTATTGGCTTTTGAAAGCCAATAGAATTAGCCTCTATTCAAGAGAGTCTATTCTATTGGCTTTCAAAAGCCAACAGAATAAAAGGGAGTAGCACAGCTAAGGAAAAGGGGGAAAAAAATGGCGGACTGCGTTGTTTGGCGACCCCCGTGAAATGGTCGTTCAACCCCAAATGGAGTCCCGACCCACAGGTTGAGAACCACTGGTTTAGCGACTGACGTTGCAACAGTGCTGAAAAAGCGACGGTGGGGGGGGGGGACTGGTCCTCACATTTATGATGGTCACGACATCCCTGTGATCAAGTGACTGCAGTTCAGCCACTTGGCCACCAGTGTGTATTTGTGCCAGTTGTAGCGTCCCGAGGTCATGTGACAGCCATGTGTAGCCTTCCTAGCCTCACCCGCAAAGTCAGCGGGGAAAGCCCGATTCACTTAATGACCATGTGATTCTTTTAACCATCCCAGCGAAAAAAGGCCATAAAATGGGGCGCATCTCGCTTAACAAACCTCATCGCTGATTGATGAGGTTGTAAACAGATCGTCCTCAGCTTAACGACCATAACTTGAGCTCAACATTTCTGTTGCTAAGGAAGACGTTAGTCAAGTGAGTTTTGCCCCATTTTACGACCTTTCTGGCCACCGTTGCTAAGTGGAACCACCGCGGTTGTCAAGTTCATCACACAATTGTTAAGTGAGTCTGGCTTCCCCATTGACCTGGCTTGTCAGAAGGTCACAAAAGGGGATCACGTGACCTCCCCCCAGGGGACACGGCGACCGTCATAAATACGAGTCGGTCGCCAGTTGCTGAATTTTGGTCACGTGACCCTGAGAAAGCCGAAAACGGTCATTAAGTGTGAAAAATGGTGATGTCGCTTTTTTTCCAGGGCTGTCGTAAGTTTGAACAGTCACTAAATGAACAGTTAAATTGAAGACGACCTGTATTGTTCCGGTCGTCCTAAGCTGTTGTCATAAGTTGGGGACTACCTATCGCAAGGTGATTTACATCGGGTTGGTGTTGAAGAGTGTACAAAAGTCAAAAATGTCACTACCAAAATGTCTATGGAGGTAGTAATAATAATAAAGTTGGAAGGGACCTTGGAGGTCATCTAGTCCAACCCCCTGATCAGGCAGGAAAGCCTATATACCATTTCATACAAATGACTGTCCGGTCTCTTCTTAAAAACTTCCAGTGTTGGAGCATTCACTGCTTCTGGAGGCAGGTTGTTCCACTGGTTAATTGTTCTCACTGTCAGGAAGTTTCTCCTTAGTTCCAGGTTGCTTCTTTCCTTGATTAGTTTCCATCCGTTGCTTCTTGTCCTGCCTTCAGGCGCTTTGGAGAATAGGTTGTCAATCATCCAGGCCCTGGTTGTCCCAAAGGTGCTTTTTCAGGTGGCAGCTGGACGTCCTTGTTTTTCTTTGAAGATGTTTCGCTTCTCATCCAGGAAGCTTCTTCAGGTTCTGACTGAATGGTGGGGAATGGAAAGATTTATACTCCTTGCGGACAGCTGGCCATTTGCATTCTTTTAGAGGGTCATTGGGGCCACTTTGAGGACAGCTAAACCTCCAAATGGCCTCAATGACTCTCTAAAAGAAGGCAAATGACTAGCTGTCTGCAAGGAGTATAAATCCTTCTATTTCCCCATCATTGACTCAGAGCTGAAGAAGCTTCTGGGATGGGAAGTGAAACATCTTCAATGAAAAAAAAAAGAAAGTCCAGTTGCCTCCTGAAAAAGCATCTTTGAATCACTATCAAAAGCTGAATTAAAGCTTATTGTGAATATGTTATTCCCAATGGATATTGCCCTGGTTTCTGAGCACAATTACTAGTTTTATCGTTTTAATGTTCGAAAATAGAAGGATGGAGACCAGACTATCCTCAAGCATTGCTTTCAAAGAGGATTAGGGAACTGAAGGCTAAAACATATGAAGAACGGTTGCACAAATTGAGTAGGTCTAGGCCAGGGGTAGGCAACCTTGGCTCTTTTATGACTCGTGGACTTCAACTCCCAGAATTCCTGAGCCAGCATGGCTCAGCTTGGAAACCTCTCCCTTGTCCCTCAGTGTGGCTGGCTCAGGAATTCTGGGAGTTGAAGTCCACCAGTCATAAAAGAGCCAAGGCGCCTACCCCTGCCCAAATGCCTGAATTTTGATCACGTGACCGTGAGGGAAAAATATTTAAATATTTAAACCAGGGCCTTCAACCTTGGCCTTTTTATGACTGGTGGACTTCAACTCCCAGAATTTCTGAGCCAGCATGGGGGAACTATGGCCCCCTCATGACTCGTGGACTTCAACTCCCAGAATTCCTGAGCCAGCATGGGGGAACTATGGCCTCCTCATGACTCGTGGACTTCAACTCCCAGAATTCCTGAGCCAGCATGGCTCAGCTTGGAAATCTCTCCTTTTCCCCTAAGCGTGGCTGGCTCAGGAATTCTGGGAGTTGAAGTCCACCAGTCATAAAAGAGCCAAGGTTACCTAGCCCTGCCCAAATGCCTGAATTTTGATCACGTGACCGTGAGGAAAAAATATTTAAACCAGGGTCTTCAAACTTGGCCCTTTTATGACTGATGGACTTCAACTCCCAGAATTCCTGAGCCAGCATGGCTCAGCTTGGAAACATCTCCCTTTCCCCTCAGCTGGCTGGCTCAGGAATTCTGGGAGTTGAAGTCCACGAGTCATAAAAGAGTCAAGGTTGCCTACCCCTGACCTAGTTTAATGAAAAGAAGGATTAGGGGCAACACGATAGCAATCTTCCAATATTTGAAGGGCTGCCACAAAGAAGAGGGAGTCAAGCTATTCTCTAAACTTCTTATCTGAGGACAGGGCAAGAAGCAACAGATGGAAACCACTCAAGGAGAGAAGCAACCTAGAACTAAGGAGGAATTTCCTGACAGTGAAAACAATTAATCAGTGGAACAACCTGCCTCCAGAACTTTTGGGTGCTCCATCACCGGAGATTTTCTAGAAGAGATTGGACAGTCCTTTGTCCAGAATTGTGTAGAGTCTACTGGTTGAGCAGGGGGTTGAACTAGAAGACCGCCAAGGTCCCTTCCAACTCTGATATTCTTTTATTCGACTCCGTTCTGACAATCTCAGCCACAACGAAATGCAAGTCATTCTGTTCTCCGAAAAGGCACCACCAGTGGTCCTCTGTCTTCAGAAGAGTGGTGACCACTTTCTAGAGCAGTGATTCTCAACCTTTCTAATGCCGTGACCCCATAATACAGTTCCCCATGTTGTGGTGACCCCCAAGTGGGTGTGGCCACCAATAAGAGGGAGTAGGACAGCTAGGGAAAAGGGAAAAAAATGGCAGACAGCATGGTTTGGTGACCCCCGTGAAATGGTCATTCGACCCCAAATGGGGTCCCGACCCACAGGTTGAGAACCACTGTTCTAGAGGAAACCTAGTCACAAACATCTCTCTTTTTGTTTCAGTTGTTACAGGACAAAAGATGGAGGTAACACAACTTCCGGAAACCGTATCGGTGAAAGCTGGAGACAGCCTCACTCTAAAGTGTACATTGACTGGGGCAAATTTACCCGGAGGCGTGCGGTGGTACAAAGGGCTGGACAGAAATCAGCCCCCCATTTACAGCGATACACAAGGAGCTTCCAACCGGGGGGTGAGGCTGGTCGCGGGATCCAACACGGACTTCAGCATCGACATCGCAAACATCCGTCCTGAAGATGCCGGGACCTACTATTGTGTGAAGTTCAGGGCAGGGGCCCCAGACAGAGAACTGGCTTCGGGGAAAGGCACGCAGGTCTCCGTAATTGGTAGGTGGCCCACCCATTTGCTTTTTGGGGTGGGGGGAGATGTTCCCAGTCAACCGAGAGACATGGGAATAAATCTCATGTTCTGAAGTTGAGTGTCTCCAACCAAACACAGCCTTGTAGCTTCCTGTATTATCTCTGAGGAACATCAACTGATATCTCTCTCTACTTTCTCCCTCAGCCAAACCATCCCAGCCTGTGGTCCGTGGCCCCACAAGAAGAGTCACGGCAGGATTTCGGGCCACCTTCAACTGCTCCACAGAGGGATTTTCTCCCCAAGAGATCACAGTCAGCTGGTTAAAGGACGGGAAAAAAATACAGGCTGGCCAGACCAACATCCTGAATTCAGATGGAACAGAGAGCATCTCGTACCAAGCAGAGAACACGGTGGAAATCCCGCTGGACCAAGGAGACGTGAGGTCTCAGCTGACCTGCCAGATCCAACACAGATCGTTGGATGGTCCTCTCCAGCAGGCCTTCCAACTCGGTGATGTCCTAAGAGGTAGGTGAGCTCTGGGTTGCAGAGAGGGATAAGACCACAGAGTCTGGACCTGGTAGAGGACCCTCCGTGGCAGAGGGAAGACACCAGGCAGAGCCAGGTTCTCGTTCCATGGAAGCCCACTAAGACCAGTCCCTCTTTCTCAACCTAAACTGCCTCCCAGACCTGTGGCTATGGGGAGCAGGTCTTTAGAAAGACCTCCCAGGAACTTGGGTCAAGTTGAGTAGAGCTCCCAAGTAGCAAGATATATTTTAATCCTAAATGTCCCGGAATTGTTTCCCTTTGCTTTAGTGGTATGTTCTGTTTTTCCTTTGTATTTTTGTCCCATGATTTTGCACGCTGCCCAGAGTCCAATGATTTGAGTTGGTTGGCCAACTACATTGTCATGATTTAAAGGCTAATCAGCTCATGTAATGGAATATAAGGTGGATGATGCAATGATAGGAGTGGCTCAGCAGGGTCTGTGTCCCTTTAAGAGCCTGAGTATAAAAGGGAAGGCTTTGCTGGAGTGTGTGTCTCTCTGTCTCAAACGTTTCCTGCTGTAACTGCTATATGTTGGAGTTTGCTATATTACCATGTGTATGTCTATTATTTCTGGTGTACGATATTGTAGATAGTGTAATATAAGCCACCATTTAATATAGACCAGGGCTTTTCAACCAGTGGTACAGGTACCACCTGTGATACATTGGCACCTGGCAGGTGGTACGTGACCATCCTAGAAAAGTGGTAGCGGGGGAGGGGAATGAGCTGAACTGGTGGCAGCACCGCACAAGCCTAAGCAAGAGACGGCTGGAGCTGCAGGGCTGTCAGGGCTCAGCGGAAGCGCCAGGATCAGTGCCGCTTTCCAACTGATCGGTGCTTCTTCGGGGCTGTCAGAGCTCAGCAGAAGCGCCAGGATCAGTGCCAGGCTCCAGCTGGAGCTCGGCACTGATCCTGGTGCTTCTGTTGAGCCCAGAAGAAGCGCCGATCAGCTGGAATGTTGCATCATCTCCAGGGTCTTGTGATTTACATTCAGATGCTTGGCAACTGATTCCTATTTATGACGGTCACAGTGTCCCAGGGTCATGTGAAGTGACCAAACCCTGCTGCAACCACCAAGCAGACAGGGGGAATAAAAACCAACCTCCCCCACCCCACCCCCACTGCCAATCCTCAACATAAATGCTCTGTAAGGACCCACCCCACTTTGCATCTTAAGAAGACAGAACTCTTGGAATAATTCTTCCAACAGGAATCCTTTATTAAGAGAAAATGGTTGCAGGCATGCTAGACAGGACTTGGGGTTCAAGCTCTTCCATTCAAGGTTTTAAGGGGTTCCCCAGTAGTCCCACCCAATCAACCCCCCTTCCAGTGATAGTTTCAAGTATCACAATTCCACCCCCTTTCTTCTTTCTTCCGTCTGGATGGAGACTTCAGATAACTACATGAAAGGCAAATACCCTTCTTTGGTATGCTAACGCTTTGAGGTTACAATAAACACACATTCAGCATTCAGCTCTTTGAAGTGTACTGAAGAAAGTGAGGGCCATAAAGCCCCTTTGTTCTCCCCCTTCTCTCCCTCTTATGGCAGAATCCAAAAAAGGCAGAATTGGGAGTTTCTATATTTGATAATTAAAGATGAAATATAATTGGATTCTGACATGCTCACAACAATGAAAACCTCGGACAGGAGGAAGAACGCCGCCGGGCGGGCAGGCAGGTGTCTTGCCCGGCTGTGGCTTGGGGGGCACTTTTTTCAGTGCTATTGTAACTTCGAACAGTCACTAAGCGAACTGTTGTAAGTCGAGGACTACCTGTACTTTATCACGTTTTTTCTTTTTTGGGGGGTGTCATCAAGTTTTTGACCCCTTGCTAGGCGACTGGTGGTCCTCGGATGTTGCCATATCCTAAAAGTGGTACAATGGAGGAAAAGGTTGAAAAGTCCTGATATAGACCACTGTTACTGTATTTACTCCTGGGTTATCTCAGCGCAATAAGACTTTGTATGCTCTGACATACATGCAGTCCTCAACCTACGACAGTTTAGTGACCATTTGAGGTGACAACAGCACTGGAAAAAAAGGGACTTATGACCATTTTCAAACTTACAACCATTGCAGCATTCCCCGTGGTCATGTGATCAAAATTCAAAGGCTTGGCAACTGGCATGTACTTACGTCATGGTCGTAAGTTGAGGATTACCTGTGTATATCGTAGAAGGTGTGTGGGAAGCCGACACCCAAACGAATGGCAGGATAAAAACCCATTTACGAATCTAAAAATCTGCCTTATGTAAACAAAGAGATTTGCTGAAAATCGGACGGAATCCTTTCTCTTGTTCTTTGTTCATAGTGTTAAGTTCTGATCTTGGGCTTCCTGCAAAAACCTGTCAACCTGCAGCTCAAGCATCCAAATCAATGTCCAGGATTATTTTCATTTCTGAAAAACTTACTGTTTATTGAATACATAGCCTGGTATCGGGCAAAGGAAAACTAACTCTAAAATCCCAAGGGGTCAAACCGTAGCATATAACAATGACATTCCCAGCCAAACCTCCCCAGATGTCCACGTAGCTGATGTAAACAAGTTCTCTTTGTTATGGGAACCATCTGCTATCTTCTTCACACCTGCTAGAATGTCCTTGAAAGGTTTCCAGGCAGCCGATTCCTCCGTGGAAGTGGAGAGCTTTCATTTCCCTAACTAACCCAGTGGAAAGCAACATCTACCCCCCTTACTCTAAGGCAGTGTTTCCCAAACTTGACAATTTTAAGGCATGTGGACTTCAACTCCCAGAATTCCACAGCCAGCGTTGCTGGCTGTGGAATTCTGGGACTTGAAGTCCTCATGGCTTAAAATTGTCAAGTTTGGGAAACACTGCTCTAAGGCAGTGGTGGTGAACCTATGGCACGCGTGCCAGAGGCGGCACTCAGAGCCCTCTCTGTGGGCACGCGCGCCATGCTCCAGAGATGGCAACTGTCCCTCTTCAACCAGCCGCCCGCTAACTCACCGAGGTCCCACGTGGCCGGATGCATCCCAGCATGGCTGGTTTCCCTCCCCCCCCCCCCATCCCATTCCTCCTGGCCTTGCATGCTCTCCTTTTCCCACTGCATCGCCTCCTCAGCTGTCGGCAGACCGTCCAGCTCAGAGGCGGCTTCTCTGAACTGCTGCTGGTGGGCTGCGGAGCCCCCGAGTATTATTTATTTATTTATTTATTTGTTTGTTTGTTTGTTTGTTTATTTTATTAGTAAAATTTATATGCCGCCCAATCCCTAGGGCAGTGGTTCTCAACCTGTGGGTCGGGACCCCATTTGGGGTCGAACGACCATTTCACGGGGGTCGCCAAACAAGGCTGTCCGCCACTTTTTTCCCCTTTTCTTTGGCCACGCCCCTGGCACCCGGTGATGTATAAGTGGTTGGGGGGGTCACCACAACATGGGGAACTGTATTATGGGGTCGCGTCATTAGAAAGGTTGAGAACCACTGCCCTAGGGACTCAGGGCGGCGTACAAAATTAAAACAACAAGTATAACAATTAGAAATGAATACATTCACACGGCGTGCCCCAATCGAATCCCCCCCCTCCCCCCCCGGGGACATCAACCCCAGGCCTGCCAGAACAGGAGAGTTTTAATAGCTTTCTTGAAGGCCGGCAAGGTGGGAGTAGTTCGAATCTCGGGGGGGGGGGAGTTGATTCCATCACGTCGGAGCCACCACAGAAAAGGCTAAAAAGACTACACCAGTCGAGAGGCCGGCGGGCCGTGGCTGCTGACGGACACTGTCGCTCCCCCATGCGGTCGCTGGCCTCTGTGTGCGGGGGCCGATGGTGTCAGGCAGCAGCCTCCCCGGCCGCTGCCTCACCTTGCCCTGCGACAGTGGCACCCCCGCCCTGCCCTGCCTCGCCTTGCCTCATCTCACCCCATAGGATGAGCCTTCTGCCCACCGCCCCACCTGCCAGAGGCCCCCTGGATCTCCCCCAACCGTGCCCGGCCCCCACAGGCGTCCTTCCCCACGAGCAACATCAAGGTGACCACGCCCACCTTGGCCACACCCACCCAGTCTGCCATGACCACCACAGCCACGCCTACCCAGGGGGCCATGCCCACCTGGCACCCGGCGATAAATAAGCGGGTTTTGGGTTGCAGTTTGGACACTCAGTCTCTAAAGCAGTGGTTTTCAACCTTTTTAATGCGGTGAACCCCAACCGGTCGTAAATCAAGGACTACTCAACCGGTCGTAAGTCGAGGACTGCTCAACTGGTGCAGCAGCGTTTGCAGAATGGGACTTTTGGCGGGCTCAGCAGGGCAGAGACAGCCTGGACAATTCCTATTGGTTTTTGAAAGCCAATAGAATTAGACTCTATTCAAGAGAGTCTATTCTAGTGGCTTTCAAAAGCCAATAGAATAAAAGGGAGTAGCACAGCTAAGGAAAAGGGGGGAAAAATGGCGGACCGCGTTGTTTGGCGATCCCCGTGAAATGGTCGTTCGACCCACAGGTTGAGAACCACTGGCCTAAAGGTTCGCCATCACTGCTCTAAGGGCAAGATGCAAACAAGAGGCACGTAGCTGCCCAACTTTCCCTCTTGACATGCTGCCCCCTCGGCAGAAGAATGGATCTGAAAAAAATAATAACCAGGTTGGGTTCAGAGAACCTACTTGTTTCCCCAAGGCCACAATGGGAGAGCAGAAAGAAGTTGGGTTTCTAGACTCTTCTGCAGGCAGGACCCGTGAGTCTGAAGCTGTCCTGACCGATCTCTTTGGCTTTCTTTGATCAGTTCCTCCCAAAGTCCACCTGGAGACCAGCCCTCCTTCCCCTGTCCAGCTGAATGCCACGGTGACGGTCACTTGCCACGCAGAAAGTTTTTATCCGGACGATGCAAAAGTGGAGTTGTTCCCCAAGGACCCCCCAAGCAGAAAAGGAACGGTTGGCCTGAAGACCCCGAATCCAGACGGGACCTTTTCCCTCAAGAGTCAGCTGGAGATGGTGGCCACCGAAGACAGGAACTCCTCCCTGTTCCTTTGCCAGGTCCAGCATAATTCCCAGCCTCTGGTCAACGAAACCATCGTCCTCTTCATTAGGATGCAAACTGAAGACAACAGGAGTAAGACCAATGGTCCAGAAAGTAAGTATGGACTTTGAGATTGATTCTTCAGAGGCCTTCTTACATGTCCACCCCATGTCCTGTTTCAGTCCGTCATTCGTCCTTTGGTCTTTCTTGATTTGAAGACAACATGGACCACCATGTTGTTCTAAAAAAGACATGTCAAGCACATGCGGCCCGCGAAGGGGTTTCACGTGGCCCACGAAGCCATCCTGGAAACAGTGAGGGAACGGCCCCCGCTGCCTTGGCCCTGGCCCAGGCCGGCCGGGAGCCAATGTACAATTTTGTGGTGGCCATCTATGCTGAAACGCATTCGGTCTTAGCTCCACAAGGCCGTCTGGAAACAGCGAGGAACCGGCCCCTGCCGCGTCGGTCCCGCCCCCTGGGTGCATGCTCAAATATTTTCCCACCACTCTGTACTTAGAAAGAAAGGAAGGAAAGAAGGAAAGAAGGAGAGGGAGGGTCTGAGGGAAGTTCTAGAACCAGAGTGGGAAGCCCTCCCTTAGCCCAGCTGAGTGCAGAGAACCTCAGAGATGACCTTGAAGAAAGATATGATAATACTTAGCAAAGGAAAGAAAGAATAGAATAAAATAGAATAGAGTAGAGTAGAGTAGAGTAGAGTAGAGTAGAGTAGAGTAGAGTAGAATTAGAATTAGAATTAGAATTAGAATTAGAATTGAATAATGGTGGGATGGGATAAAATAGGATAGGATATAGAATGGAATGGAATGGAGTGGAGTGGAGTGGAGTGGAGTGGAGTGGAGTAGAGTAGAGTAGAGTAGAGTAGAGTAGAGTAGAGTAGAGTAGAGTAGAGTAGAGTAGAGTAGAATAGAATAGAATAGAATAGAATAGAATAGAATAGAATAGAATAGAATAGAATAGAATAGAATAGAATAGAACAGAACAGAACAGAACAGGAATAGAATAGAGTGGAGTGGAGTGGAATGGAATGGAATGGAATAGAATAGAATAGAATAGAATAGAATAGAATAGAATAGAATAGAATAGAACAGGAATGGAATGGAATGGAATGGAATAGAATGGAATGGAGTGGAGTGGAATGGAATGGAATAGAATAGAATAGAATAGAATAGAATAGAATAGAATAGAATAGAATAGAACAGGAATAGAATAGAATAGAATAGAATGGAGTGGAATAGAATAGAATAGAATAGAATAGAATAGAATAGAATAGAATAGAATAGAATAGAACAGGAGTGGAATGGAATAGAATAGAATAGAATAGAATAGAATAGAATAGAATAGAATAGAATAGAATAGAATAGAATAGAATAGAATAATGGTGGGATGGGATGAAATAGGATAGGATATAGAATGGAATGGAATAGAATAGAATAGAATGGAATGGAGTGGAGTGGAGTGGAATAGAATAGAATAGAATAGAATAGAACAGGAATGGAATGGAATAGAATAGAATAGAATAGAATAGAATAGAATAGAATAGAATAGAATAGAATAGAATAGAATAGAATAGAATAGAATAGAATAATGGTGGGATGGGATGAAATAGGATAGGATATAGAATGGGATAGGATAGGATAGGATAGAAAATAGGGAATAGAACAGAACAGAATAGAATAGAAATATAGAATAGAATAGAAATATAAAATAGAATAACAGAGTTGAAGGGGACCTTGGAGGTTATCTAGTCCAACCCCCTGCTCAGGCAGGAAACCCTATACCATTTCGGACAAATGGCTGTCCAATCTCGTCTTAAAAACTTCCAGTGTTGGAGCATTCACCGCTTCTGGAGGCAGGCGGTTCCACTGCTCCTTTGGTGGAACATCAGGTCTCCGTAAGTTTGCACCCCTATAACTTCTTCTGATGGTCTGTTAATCTTTTGCATACAATACTCTTCAAATCAAGATATTCAGGGGAGCTGTCAATAAAAGCCAGAGCGATGGCCCCTGAAGGGGAGAAGGTTTCAGTTTTACATTGGTGGCTGCCAAGTTTCTGGAGCTCACCGCTAGAGACAGAATCTTGGCAGCCTAAAGCAATTATCTGCACAGCTAGTCCTCAATTTACCACCACAGTTGAGCCCGAAATTTCTGGAGCTAAGCTAAGACAGCGGCGAAGCGAGTTTTTGCCCCATTTTACAACTTTTCTAACCACCCTTGTCCAGTGAATCACGTTGTGGCGGTTGTTAAGCGAGTCACAGGGTTGTTAAGTGATTCTGGCTTTTCCCCCCCCACCCACCCCCCACCTAGGCTTTGCTTGTCAAAAGGTCGCAAAAGGGGATCATGTGACTCTGGGTCATTGCAACCGTCCTAAGTACATGTCAGTTGCCAAAGCGTCTGAATTTTGATCATGTGACCACGGGCTGCTGCAATGGCCGTAAGTGTGGAAGACAGTCCTCCGTCTAGCCCAGTGGTGGCGAACCTATGACACGCGTGCCAGAGGCGGCACTCAGAGCCCTCTCTGTGGGCACACGCACCATGCCCTGGAGATGGCAACCGTCCCTCTTCAACTAGCCGCCTGCTAACTCGCCAAGGTCCCATGTGGCTGGATGCATCCCAGCATGGCTGGTTTCCCTCCCCCCCCCCCATCCCATCCCTCCTGGCCTTGCATGCTGTCCTTTTCCCGGGCACGACAGACTGCATCGCCTCCTCAGCTGTTGGCCGGCCATCCAGTTCAGAGGCGGCTTCTCTGAACTGCTGGTGGTGTGCTGTGGAGCCCCAGAGAGTCGAGGGGCTGGCAGGCTGTGGCTGCTGACGGACACTGTCGGCCCCCATGCGCTCGCTGGCCTCTGTGTGCGGGGGCCGATGGTGTCAGGCAGCAGCCACCCCGGCCCCTGCCTCACCTTGCCCTGCGACAATGGCACCCCCGCCCTGCCTCGTCTTGCCTTGCCTCACCCCGCAGGACGAGCCTCCTGCCCACCGCCCCACCTACCAGAGACCCCCCGGATCTCTCCCAACCCTGCCCGGCCCCCACAGGCGTCCCTTCCCATGAGCAACATCGAGGTGACCACGCCCAGCTTGGCCACACCCACCCAGTCTGCCATGACCACCACAGCCACGCCCACCTGGCCCCCGACGATAAATAAGTGGATTTTGGGTTGCAGTTTGGGCACTCGGGCTCTACAAGGTTCGCCATCACTGGTCTAACCTTTTCAGGGACGTTGCAGCTTTAAGCAGTCACTAAACGAATGGCTGTAAGTCAAGGACTACCTGTAGAAGGATGAATATATTTGACCCTCTTCCTGCCTACCAGACCTTCCCAGCTCAGCTGCCTCTTTGCCCTCTGGGAAGCAGCCCCTCCCTCCTCGGAATCCAGACGACACTCCACCGCATTAGAGAAGCTCCCGAGGACGCCGTGCGTTGGCTTGTTGCTTTTATTCCACTCAATGGGCTTTGACGTTTTCGTGATAGGCTGGGATAATCAATCTATGCATTTCCTAAATCAGTAGTTCTCAACCTTTTTAATGCCGCGACCCCCCCCAACCGGTCGTAAGTCGAGGACTACTCAACCGGTGGTAAGTCAAGGACTGCTCAACTGGTGCAGCACCGTTTGCAGAATGGGACTTTTGGCGGGCTCAGCAGGGCAGAGACAGCCTGGACAATTCCTATTGGCTTTTGAAAGCCAATAGAATTAGACTATATTCAAGAGAGTCTATTCTATTGGCTTTCAAAAGCCAATAGAATAAAAGGGAGTAGCACAGCTAAGGAAAAGGGGGGGGGAATGGCGGACTGCGTTGTTTGGCAACCCCCGTGAAATGGTCGTTCGACCCCAAATGGGGTCCCCACCCACAGGTTGAGAACCACTGTGCTAAATGAACGCTGACTGGCTCAAAGGACAGTTCAAGGACACCCACCCCTAACCCTTTTTCTGCAATCTTTCTGCAGATGATAGGACAACCATGATCATCATTGCGGTGGTGGTGTGTTTCCTCCTGGTTGTGTTGGTAATTGCAGTTATCTGCCTCATCCAAACGAGACACAGCAAAGGTAAAACATGCGCCTTCTTGGCGGTCTGAGGTCCTGTTCAGAAAGGGGGCCGTTGTAGTCGTCACCCTTGAGATTGAGGGAGGCAACTTCATCCATTTGTGGGGAGGGGGGGCTTCATGTGGGGTCCCTGAACCTGTTCTCGTGATTTAGTTTTCTCCATGGGATGCATGTCATGGATGGATGGAAGGAGGGAGGGAGGGAGGGAGAGGTGAAGGGAGGAAAGGATGGATGAATGGATGGGTGGAGGAAGAGGGAGGGAGGGATGGAAAAAGGAGGAAGAGAGGGTTGATTAATGGAGAATGGAGGGATAGATGAGAAAGAGAGAGAAGATGGATGTATAGTGTGAATGGAGGATGAAGAGATGGAGGATGGAGGGAGGGGGGAGGGGAAGGATGGGTGGAAGAAGGGAGAGAGAAAGGGTGGATGAAAGGAGAACGGAGGGGAGAGGAAGAAAGAAGATGGATGTATATGTGGAGGGAGGATGGAGAGGGAGGGATGGAAAGAGGAAGGAAGAGGGTGGATGAATGGATGTAGGATTTATGGATAGATAGATAAGATATAGATAGGGAGAGAGGGATGATAGATAGATAGATAGATAGATAGATAGATAGATAGATAGATAGATAGATAGATATTAGAGACACAGATATTAGAGATAGATAGAGATAGATAGATAGATAGATAGATAGATAGATAGATAGATAGATAGATAGATAGATAGACAGATATTAGACACAGATATTAGAGATAGATAGATAGATAGATAGATAGATAGATAGATAGAGATAGATAATTAGATAGACAGACAGATATTAGAGACACAGATATAGATAGAGATAGATAGATAGACAGACAGATATTAGACACAGATATTAGAGATAGATAGGTAGATAGATAGGTAGGTAGATAGATAGATAGATAGATAGATAGATAGATAGATAGATAGATAGATAGCTCCTAGAAGCACGAAGCCGAAAACACCAGCCTGAAGATGACGAATGGCACTTCGTCGAAACGTTGCCACTTCATGGAGATGTTCTTCTGCTCTTTTAGGCCCAGTAAAAAAGGCCCTGGTCTTCTCCTTCCTCGTGGTTGGTTGCTTTCCACCAACCTTGTGGTTCCATTATTTCCTGGTGGACTTCCACAAAAGCCGACCTTCTTTAGCTTTGAAGAGATCAGCCATCCACTTGACATAAGACAGACAAGCCGGCGTAGAGAGTCCTCAACTTACAACGCTTCATTTAGGGACCGTTCGAACTTGTGTGCAAAAAAAAAAGGTTCAATCAATCAATCAATTTCAACTTCTCGCGGGAAAAAAAAAGATCTTGCAAAGTTGGAATGGATTGATTGAACGTTTTAGTCCCACCCAGTCTGCCATTACCACCGCAGCCACACCCACCCAATGGGCCACACCCACCCAATGGGCCACGCCTATCCAGCACCCAACGATACATAAGTGGGTTTTGGGTTGCAGTTTGGGCACTCGGTCTCTAAAAGGTTCGCCATCACTGGTATAGGGTTTCCTGCCTGAGCAGGGGGTTGGACTAGATGACCTCCCAGGTTCCTTCCAACTTTATTATTATTATTATAGATCCTTGGGAGCACACTGTCACTGACAATCCCCATTGGGGTGATAAATCTATAGCACCTTGAGCAAAAAAAGCTGATGGATGGACTGAGGCCAATCTTTTTCTCAACAAGAGCCGAGGTGGCACAGCAGTTAGAGTGCAGTTCTGCAGGCCACTTTAGCCGGCTGTGTTCAGCAGGTCAGCGGTTCAAATCTCACCGGCTCAAGGTTGACTCAGCCTTCCATCCTTCCGGGGTAGGTAAAATGAGGACCCAGATTGTTGGGGGCAATGTAAATATATATATATATCCATTGCTTACTGGTGTACACCGCTTAGAGAGTGCTTTGCACTTAAAGGGGTATATAAGTCTCATAAATAAATAAATAAATAAATAAATAAATAAATAAATAAATAAGCAAGCAAGCATTATTGGCGTCAAGCTGTGGAAGATTCAGCGGCCTGACACCCTTCGCCGCAATTTATTTAGCCTCAGAGTTTAACCTGTCTTGACTGGGGCCCGAACTTGTCACAGAGAAGCTTCTGGTAGTATCCAGAAATAACTCCTGTGAGAATCAGGGGAAAAAATTTCCCCTTGGCATCCGGCTGCTGTGTGTTGTAAAAATCTGAGCTTGGCAGGATTTTATGGAAAGTGGTCTTCCAGCTAAATGTGTGTTTTTTTCTCTCTCTCTCTCTCTCTCTCTCCTGCTTTCTTCTAGGTAAAGACGCCACAGCTGTAAGGTAAGCCTGTTTTTTTTCCTCTTTTAATCAAAACAAAGGGGTTGATGTGGGGAAAAAGAAATAAAATAGAGGCCGTTACCATCAGGTGTGCTCCAGGTGCGTTGAAGTGTGGTTTTTTTTTTTTCCCATCGGTCTTAGTCCCCAGGATTCACAGCTGGATTGGTACCAAATTGGGCTAAGGTTAGGCTAATATTCAGGATTTAAAACTTGTTTGTTGACAGTGGCTAATTTTGCTTGATTTAAAAAAAAAAAACCGTAAACCTGTTTCCCTTTTGCAATCTGGACATCACTCTGAATTTGTTGAATTTATTGAATTTTATTTATTTATTTATTTATTTTATTATTGAAAGCAAGGTTAGGCAGAGTCAAAGCAAGCAAACATCAATAGCTGTCACACAACATGCTAACTCAAAGTCAGGTTAGCAAGGCATTCTTAAGGCATTCACACCACATGGTGAGAAAGGAGGAGGAGGAGGAGGAAAGTGAAGGACATGGAGAAGGAAAGGAGAAGAGTGAGGAAGGAAGAAGGAGAAAGAGGGCGAGGAAGAGAGAAGGAGGAAGGAAGGAGAGATAATAATAATAATAGTAGTAGTAGTAGTAGTAGTAGTAGTAGTAGTAGTAGTACTAGTAGTAATAATAATAATAGTAAAGTTGGAAGGGACCTTGGAGGTCATCTAGTCCAACCCCCTGCTCAGGCAGGAAACTCTATACCATTTCAGACAAATGACTGTCCAGTCTCTTCTTGAAAACTTCCAGTGTTGGAGCATTCACCGCTTCTGGAGGCAGGCTGTTCCACTGGTTAATTGTTCTAACTGTCAAGAAGTTTTTCCTTAGTTCTAGGTTGCTTCTCTTCTTGATGAGTTTCCCTCCGTTGCTTCTTGTCCTGCCTTCAGGCGCTTTGGAGAAGAGCTTGACTCCCTCTTCTTGGGGGCAGCCCCTGAGATACTGGAAGACTGCTATCATGTCCCCCCTCGTCCTTCTGTTCACTAAACTAGACATACCCAATTCCAGCAGCTGTTGCTTATATGCTATAGCCTCCAGTCCCTAATCATCTTTGTTGCTCTTCTCTGTACTCTTTCTAGAGTCTCAGCATCTTTTTTACATTGTGGTGACCAAAACTGGATGCAGTATTCCAAGTGTGGCCTTACCAAGGCCTTATAAAGCGGTATTAACACTTGACGTGATCTTGATTCTATCCCTCTGTTGATGCAGCCTAGCACTATGTTGGCCTTTTTGGCAGCTGCAGCACATGGCTGGCTCATATTTAGGTGATTGTCCACTAGGACTCCCAAGGTCCCTCTCACAGTTACTACTATTAAGCAAGGTACCCCCTCTACTATACCTATACATTTGGTTTTTCTTGCCTAAATGTAGAACCTTGCTTTCTTTACCATTGAATTTCATTTTGTTAGATAGCGCCCAGTATTCAAGTCTGTCCAGATCCTCCTGTATCCTAAGCCTGTCTTCTGGAGTGTTGGCTATTCCTGCCAGCTTGGTGTCGTCTGCAAATTTGATGAGTTCCCCATCTATCCCCTCGTCCAAATTGTTGATATAGATATTGAGGAGAAGGAGAAAAAGAGGAGGAGAGGAGAAGAAGGGAGAGGGAGAAAGAGAGGAGAGGAGGAAGAGAAGGAGGGGGTTGGACTAGATGACCTCCAAGGTCCCTTCCAACTTTACTACTATTACTATTACTAGAGAGAAGGAGAAAAAAGGAGGAAGAGAGGAGAAGGAAGGAGGGAGGGAGGAGAAGCAGAAAGAGAAGAGAAGGAGAAAGAGGGAAGTGGAAGGGCATGGAGAAGGAAAGAAGAGTGAGGAAGGAAGAAGAGGACGAGGAAGAGAGAAGGGGGAAGGAAGGAGAGATAAGTAGAAGGAGAAAAAGGAGGAGAGGAGAAGAAGGGAGGGAGGAAGGAGAGGGAAAAAGAGGAGGAAGAAGAGAGAGGGAGGAGAGAGAAGGAAGAAAAAAGAAGGAGGGAGGGAGGAGAAAGAAGAAAGTAGGAGAAGCAGAAAGAGAGAAGAGAGGAGAAAGAGGGAAGTGGAAGGGCATGGAGAAGGAAAGAAGAATGAGGAAGGAAGGAGAAGGAGGAAGAGGAAGAGAGAAGGGAGAAGGAAGGAGAGATAAGGAGAAGGAGAAAAAGGAGGAGAGGAGAAGAAGGGAGGGAGGAAGGAGAGGGAGAAAGAGGAGGAAGAAGAGAGAGGGAGGAGAGAGAAGGAAGAAAAAAGAAGGAGGGAGGGAGGAGAAAGAAGGAGGAGAAGCAGAAAGAGAGAAGAGAGGAGAAAGAGGGAAGTGGAAGGGCATGGAGAAGGAAAGAAGAATGAGGAAGGAAGGAGAAGGAGGAAGAGGAAGAGAGAAGGGAGAAGGAAGGAGAGATAAGGAGAAGGAGAAAAAGGAGGAGAGGAGAAAAGGGAGGGAGGAAGGAGAGGGAGAAAGAGGAGGAAGAAGAGAGAGGGAGAGAGAGAAGGAAGAAAAAAGGAGGGAGGGAGGAGAAAGAAGGAGGAGAAGCAGAAATAGAAGAGAGGAGAAAGAGGGAAGTGGAAGGGCTTCCTCAGCCTTCCATCCTTCTGGGGTAGGTAAAATGAGGACCCAGATTGTTGGGGGCAATGTAAAATATATATATATATATATATATATATACATATATATATATATATATATATATATATATATATACACACACACACACACACACACACACACACACACACACACACACACATTGCTTACTGGTGTACACCGCTTAGAGAGTGCTTGCACTTAAAAGCGGTATATAAGTCTCATAAATAAATAAATAAATAAAGGGCGTTGAGAAGGGGAAGAGGGGGGGAAGGGAGGAGAAGAAGGAAGAAGGGGAAGGATAAAAGGAGAAGAAAGTGAGGGAAAGGAGGAAGAGAAGAAAAAAGAGAGAGGAGAAGCAGAAAGAGAGAAGAGAGGAGAAAGAGGGAAGTGGAAGGGCGATGAGAAGGAGAAGAGGGAGGGAGGAGAAGAAGGAAGAAGGGGAAGGAGAAAAAGGAGAAGAAAGTGAGGGAAAGGAGGGAGAGAAGAAAAAGAGGAAGGAGAAAGAGGAGAGGAAGAAGAGAAGGAGACAAGAGGGAAGTGGAAGGGTGTGGAGAAGGAAAAGGAGAAGAGGGAAGGAGGGAGGGAGGAGGAGAAGAAAGAGAAGAAGGGGAAGGACAAAAGGGAGAAGAAAGTGAGGGAAAGGAGGGAAAGAAAAAGAGGGAGAAAAAGAAAGAAGAGGGAGGAGAAGGAGAGGAGAGGAAAAAGGGAAGAAAGAGAAGGGGAGGAGAAGGAGAAACGGAAAGAGACTAAGAGGAGGCAGAGGAGAAGGAAAAGAAAAAAGGAGATGAGAAAGAGGGGAAGGTAGGAGGGAGGGCAAAGAGAGAAGGAGAAGAATCTTACTACTCTTGTGGAAAAATAAAAGCCTTAAAAAAATAACAGACTTTTACGAATTCCAAGGGTGAAAGAGAGGTTTTTATTTTTGCACAATAGGTTCAGAAGCAATTTACAATCAGCAAATTTCTGAACAAGGGGGAGAGTCTAAACCAGGGGTTCTCAACCTTGGCAACTTTAAGACTTGTGGACTTCAACTCCCAGAATTCCTCAGCCAGCTTTGCTGGCTGAGGAATTCTGGGAGTTGAAGTCCACAAGTCTTAAAGTTGCCAAGGTTGAGAACCCCTGGTCTAAACTAAAGCTTTATAGGTTTCTTTTTCTCAGGAACAAGGGAAGCATAGATAGAATCTTACATTGTATATGGGATCTACGTTGTGTAACGTTCAGATAGTTTCTCACACGTTAGGTCCATTTCTCATGGGAATACATTGAAGGCAGTTTTTACTTTTAAACAATGTTTCTAAATATGCATTAGGTCATTCACGTACTGTTAATACAGCTTTTTGGCTAACACAGCTTTCTTCCAGAAATTATGCGGACACATGATTTTTGCTTTTAGTGATTTTTCATTATTATTATTATTATTATTATTATTATTATTATTATTATTATTATTCTAACTTTATTCTTCTTTATTCTCTGTTATTCTATTTCAGTGTTTCTCAACCTTGACAATTTTAAGGCATGTGGACTTCAACTCCCAGAATTCCACAGCCAGCATTGCTGGCTGTGGAATTCTGGGAATTGAAGTCCACATGCCTGCTGGCTGTGGAATTCTGGGAGTTGAAGTCCACATGCCTTAAAATTGTCAAGGCTGAGAAACACTGTTCTATTTCTTTCCACTTTACTACGGATTAACACAATAACCTGGGCCAGACATCACGCTGAGGTAAAGAACAGGCCCCAAACTAAGCAGAGGCTTATCAGGCCCAGCGTGTGAAGGTAAAAACTATTAGGAAGAGATGAAAAACCGGCGATAGGAAAGAGGATTATAAAGAACAGCTTCCCCCAGGCTCCCGACTTCAGCCGTCTTCAAGATGACAGGGATCAAAAAACCACCTCACAGCTTAAGAGAGCGTTTCAACCCTCTTGAGATTTTTTTTTTTTTAAAAAAGCCCAAAAAAGAATTTGAGCAAAGAGACGACAAAAATAAAAATTAAAAAAAAATCACAGGAAAATGCATTTAAGAGAAAGCGATTCCTAACATCTCTCTTTTCCTGATCGTAGAGAGTCACTCTAATTTTCCTTTCTGTAGTAAGGAAGACAAAAAAAAAAAAAAACTGCAACGCTTTGCGTCGGCTTGAGGACTTCTGGACTATAATCCGATAATCACGAAATGCGCCCGACGATAGGAAATTCCATTTAACCACCCAGACAAACATTAGATTAATTGTTCAGCTATCTGATCAGCTCTCTTAAGAAAGGAGACAAAAAGAAGCTCTCCTATAATTCTATCGTTTCGGTGCTTGAGGAATTCATTTCTCTTTTTTTGGGTAATTGTGTAAATTCGCCTTATATTTGGAACACGATAAAAAGAGTTCCGTCTCTCCATCTTTTTTTTTTTCATTTACAGCAGGGGCCTTCAAACTTGGCCCTTTTATGACTTGTGGACTTC